CACCGACAGGTGCTGGGGAGGGAGGGTGGGATAGAGAGAGGAGTGTTGAGGGGAGATCTTTGCAGGGAAGGAGGGGAGGCCCCCACCCCCCCATAGTCGCTGCCCCCTCCATCAGTCCTGGGGGGTTGCCCTGTCTCTCTCCCCCTCCCTCCCACTCTTGGGGGAGGACAGGCAAGGAGAGACCCCCCCTCCCCAGAAGAAGCGGCGGGCTGCGTCTTCCTGCCTCTTTTGGGATGCAAGGGGGGCGTTTAAAATGGGGGCAGCACCCAAACAGACCCCCTGCCCGGCTCCTTTCCTCCACTTCACGGTATTGTTTCAATGGTGAGAAACAAGCAAGGCGACCTTGCCAGGGCGGGGGGAATGTGACTCCAATCCCGGGAACCCCAAGCTCTTGATGCCTGTCTTGTCTTGGCTTGTTTGAAAAAGTGCTTTGCAAACTGTTCTGTTGTCTGAAAGGTGTTTGATTTAAAAGGCGTTCTCTCCCTCCTTTGCTGCCCCTTTTTTCCCAAAACATGCTTGGCTTGGCTTGGCTGAAAACGTTGGCTGAAAAATAATTTGCAAACTGTTCTGTTGTCTGAAAGGTGCTTGGTTTAAAAGGTGTTCCCTCCCTCCTTTGCTGCCCCTTTTCCTCCAAAACGTGCTTGGCTTGGCTTAGCTGAAAAGGTTGGCTGAAAAGTGCTTTGCAAACTGTTCCCTGCCTCCCCCCTCCTTTCCTGAACTTTTCTTGACCTAAGGAAAAAAAGGAAAAAATATCCCCCTCTAGTGGTAGAAGGCAGAATAGCACCTTCCCATTAGTTTCTATGGACGGAAAAGAGCAGATACGGATTAAATGGTTTTCAATGCATTCCTATGGGAAATGCAGATTCGACCTACAAACTTTTCGACTTACAAACTGCCTTCCAATACGGATTAAGTTTGTAAATCGAGACCCCACTGTATTATAAATTCTAAAGTGACCTGAGTTATCCTAACAGAAAATAGCTAAATATCATATCTATTAATAAAAATGGGTGATACCATCTAAAATGGTAATTTTTACAGACCTGAATCTAACTGGTAGTCCCAACTAGTATCAACCCACTGAAACAATGGAATTTCCAGGACTGACCATTCTTATGGGGACTACCTGCTAGATTTAGACCACACTGTGCATGTGTAAGGATTATTGGCTTTCACAAGAGCATACACCTGCCTACGGAGGGTGTTTGATTCAGGAATAACTGAATAATTTGATCATACCAGATAAACAAACATCTGCCCTGAGGAAAGGCTGAGTGAAAGAAATCAAGATTAGAGAAGCATCTCATGAAGAGATGCAAGAAACAGCTTTTTCAACTAAGCTAAGCTCCTAAAATTTAATTATTTGTAGTGCAATCCGATGTATCTATTCCACAAATAAATCTCACCAAACTAAATGAATATGGACTTGCAGCACACCATTGATATTTACTAACACTAGTGAATATACTTTGCCTCAGTTTTTACAGTACCAGCAGCTGAGAACATTAACAGCCACTACACTTACTTTCTGCCTTGAAATGCCATTTTTATGGCTAAGTTACGGTACATGTCAGAAAATGTATGAACAACAACACTGAAAAGATCTAAGAATAAAAAACTCGAACAACTTACTTTTCAAACCACAAGGTAAGATTAGTGGTATGTCTTATCATTCTGAGCAGGTTAGGAGAATTGATTTCTTTATCTTCTTTTGTCCATACACTTCCAACCAGCTCCGATGGCTGCACAGCCCTAATAAAAGAGAACAGATATCAAACTGAAAGATGTCCAACTAGCTATCATGTTACTAAGCTACTACTTAATAAGATTATCTCAAATATCTTCTCACTTTGATCAATAATTCTGAATAAGAACAAATAAGAAAAATGGGCCAATTTCCAATTTTCTTGCTTTGTCAATATACAGTAACATTTGCTCTGATTACTAGTTCATCTCCAGAAAGCAGTATGACACTACCTCAGTTTATGAAGTCTGGAGAAAAGGAATTCTGTTTTATATTACAACTTTATTATGTTGGACATGACAATCCCTATCAAATTAAGAGGAACTGTTAATTTTGAGTTAGATCCCTGATAAATACACATTGACATACTGAGGGATAACACTTTTCAGATAGTAGTGAGTGTGTACATGTGGATATCATGTCTGAGAAGTTTTATCTCTCAAAATGGAACATAATCTTGCTAGAAGAAACACAATATACAATTGACAAAACAAAACACTGATGAAGTATTCTATTTGGAAAGCTACTGTTTTCAGAGGGTTAAAAAAAGAAAAACTACCTGTATAGTTCAGATTCAAGTAGAGTGAGCTGCCGAGCAATTTCTATTGGATGCAAAGTGAGCAGGTCAAATGTTTCAACGTGTCCTGGCCTGCTTATATGCCATTCAATTGGAGGTGGTGAGCTTTCAAAAGTAATATGATTTGGCCCAATAGCTTGTGCTTGCTTTTTCCTATGGATTATTTTTGTGATTGACTCAACCCATTTCTTCATAGCTTTCCCTGATAAAATAAATAATAAATTCCATGAATTTAAATAAGATGTTACCTAGGTACCAACTTCTGATCATGCAAATACCTAATGTACATAAAAACGCTAGGGAAAAATTTACATAATGCAAAAAATCCTTTTCTTCCAGCACCAGCTTCAGTGGCCTGTGAGATGCACCTGGAACATTTACAAATTAAGTATGATGAAGATAGATGGTCTTTTCTTTGTGTTCAGCCTGTAGTAACTGCTCTCACTCTTGTGGACAGTTCTAACTCCCTGAACTTCCTTTTGTTTAATACCATTTAGAATTAGTCATCTTCATGTCCAATGGGAATGGATTATTAAAAGTAGCTGATCACAGACCAAATAAAAATAATTTCAGTCTAATAAACATAGTATGTATAGATAATATTTATGACTATAGAGTAAGTATAGTCACAATGTAAATTTATACAACACAAGGATGGTGTATTATGTAGTATTTCTAACCAAGACACTACTTATTTTTGAACCATGTTGAGCCATGCTCTGTTTTGTAAAAATTCAAGAATCAGGCATATAAAGGAGGTATTGCAAAAGATAAAAATATTTAAAATCCTTATTTTCTGTTTCATTCATGAAAAGACTCCTTCCATGAATAAAAATCTCTTTTCATATACAGAATGAGAAGCTGATTCCAAATAAGTATTTCCAAAGGATTCTGCCTGATTATCAAAGTGTTTCTTCTACAGAAATAGAAATTGTTTTGGGGATATGAGTTATTACTGCTGATTATCAAATATCTGTTTGGTATTTTTTAACCTTGTGCAAGGGATTGATAGTGGCTATTTTCAGACATTTAAGGCTTCCCATTCCTGTCTTGTTTTACCCAAAGGCTTTCCCAGATCCAACTGCATCCTAAGGTTGCTTAGGAACCTGGGGAGTCAGAATATAAAAACTGTAATTACCAAAATACAACTGTAGCTGATGATGTCATCAGACTTCTGTGGTGTACCTTTTCATGACGTGACTGGATTCCCAGTTTTTTTTTGTCCCACGCAATATTACATGTTACTAGTCAGTGAGCAATTTAGCAAAAGAAAAGCAATTTGCTCTGATCATCAGCATGTTGTCCCTATCTGAAGGGAACAGGTTTCGGGGTGGGGTGGGCTAAAATTCATCACAGTCAAGAAATACCCAACAAAAGAGGAAGAGTATTGTTTATTTTATCTGACTTCATTTTATTTTTATTCTATTTTATGTCTTCTGGATCTAGGTGTTTAGATGGAAGACACTTAATCCTCAACAAATGAACACTGCTTTAGATATGGCCATTTTTATATCTTCATGGTACGCTGGAGATTTCTATGGGGTTAGAAAATACCATAGTACTCATAAAAAGTAAGGTTTCCTTAAGCATGAAGGTTAATGTATGTATTCAATGACTACAACAGCTTAAACCTGATTTCATAGAGTCTGATATATTTTGAGCATGCAAGTCATGCCTCTATTAACACAGAAATGATTCTACTAAAAGGGTTAAAAGGAAACGAAATCAGTCACATTGTAATCAGTTACCTCTAACTGTGGCAATGAATTCTTCTAGTCGTTGCAGAAGATCAACATCTCTCTCAAAATCATAGAAGTGATGCTCAACCCAATGTCTGCATACATTTAATACTCTATAATAACAGAAGACTTCATAAAATCTTTGAAATTAAAGCATATTCAATATTCTTTTGACAACACCTAGAACAGTTATGGAATTAGTTTTCTTCCACTGAAAATTATATGAAGATATATTGTACTGTTTCCTTTGGGAAGTATCACACTGGTGCAAAAAGAAACCCCTTGCCAAATTCCTAACATGACTTGGTGGGGTTGAAAAGGTATGATAGGATCACTGGTTCCCCAATCTCTACTCCAGGCTCAAGTAGCTGGGAATCAGGAAAAACATACCTAGTAGGAGCAAACCTAATCAGGTTGTAGTGTCAGGATGGCCCACTGTCTACATCTATAATCATCCTGAGTTTCTAGGATTGATTAACCTCTCTCTTTGAAGGACAAAGGACACTTGATGACCAAGATCTTCAAAAGAAAGCATTAGTGTGTGCATGAAACACTGCATACAGTATTTGAATCTAGTCCACTAAATTTAAAAACTAGGATCTAAATTTAAATAAGAGGCTTGCTTGTTGATTCCATCACCAAATTTTCAGATTCTGCAATTGGTGACTTTTGAAGCATTCTTGGAAAAATAATACTTAAATACTCAAAGTACTTACCGTAGCTGTACAGGTTGTATATATTCCTTTCTAAACCTTTTTAATTCTGCACTAAGAGGCTGATCTCCATTCTCCATAGCTATCCGGTCTGCTTCTGTTGGTTCAGGTTCTGGAATTTCAAACCTAATATGGAGTGAGGTAAATATCAAGTGATACCTTTGCCAAGAAGAACACTAATTAAAAAAAGTAGGAATCAAAATATTTAATTTTCACTACTGTGAAGTCTCATGATGGCAAAGATATAATTTACCCCATATAAGACTGGTGACTTCATGAGCTGCTGCAATTTCCCGGAAATTAAAAAAAATACTGATTCCCCACCCTGTGAACTCCAAAGATTCCTATGAGATCTTTTTTGGGAAAGCCATTAGTGGCTAGAGCACAGGGGCGGGGGGGGACTATAATTTTTTTTAAAATGGCATCTCTGATATGATTTTACCAACAGGGAGATGTTCAGAAATTAAAGTTTTAACTCCATCTTGTGGCCCCCCAACAGCTTCCCCATAATGAAAAGAGATTCTGTGGGCCCTCTGGGAGGAAAAGTTTCAGATTTTTTTCTCTTGAAAAACTATCATGGCTAATGTCATCATTAGCCTTATACAGCACAGTTCTGTGAAAGAGACTTCTGCCACTGAGAAACTGCAAGTATGAAACAAAATATTACAACAATTTCCTGGATTAATTTAGTACTTTAATATCTCTCAGCAAACACCATTGTTTCCCTGCTCTAAACAAACATTTTGTGTTAAATATGGTGCCACATATTAAAACACACACACCAAAAACCCACTTCAAACACTTTAAAATCTACTGCTTTACTTTATTTATCCAGATATACATCCCTGTTTTATGTTTGTATGCATTTTCAAACAATTCCAATGTTTGTACAGTATGCATTTTTGTACACATTTGACTGAAAACGTTTACCTCCTCTAATTTATACAAAAGTTCAAAATCTTGTGTACATGTTGTAATTTTTGGGAAAAAGTAATGTACAGTATACTTCTTTCCAAAGGATAGAGATATTTAAAAATCTCATCTGAAAAGAGATGCAAAATTAAAAGATAGCACTTAAGAAAAATCCCATTACCTTTCTATGAGTAGACTCAATAATTCCTGTGGCTTACAAAATGACCTATATGTTGTAAGAAATGTTCGAACAAAGTTGGGATCTGGGATAGAAAAAATTACATATTTCAGAACATTATTTTAATAACACAGACAGCAAATGAATAATTATACAGATAACCTGAAAACCACAAAACACAATCTATTTTAAGTATTATGTCTATCTACGTTGGCTATAAAACAAATTCAATTCACATCAAACAATTAAAATGCAAATATTTGGGCCAAATGAAGATCTGTCTTTTAACTACGGTTGGTGTGATAGGATAAGAACATTCTTTCTTGGAAGAGCTAGCAGCGTTAGTCTGTGCAAGCATATTAAGTAAAATTCAAAGAAACAAAACACAACAAAATAAAAAAGACTAAAAAAGAGAGAAAAACATACAGCACCTTAAAGACCAACTATTATACCGTATTTTAATGTGAGCTTTTGTGGACCTGTCCACTTCCTCGGATATAAGTGGACATGTCCATGAAAGCTCACATTAAATTAGCTAGGCTTTAAAGTGTTACATGTTTTTGTCTCTTTTTAAAATGTAGTCCTTTGTTTTGCTTCTTTGGATTTTGGCTAATGTTCTTTCTTGATAGCTTCCTGCTCTCCTCATAATCAGTTCAAGGAACTACTGTTCTGCCTCAGGACCTGGAAATGCTAACAGCTAGGGATTGGGACGACTCATCATTTTGGTGAGTGGTCCTGCTTCGTGAGTCATCAAAAGTTGATCGAGTGGTCCTGCTTCGTGAGTTATCAAAAGTTGATGACTCACTAAGAATGAAGTTGCCCCATGAAGCGACGAATAACAAATATATTTATCAATTTGTGTGGTGTGGTTATTAAAAAGAAACACACATCCCACTGCCACTGCCCCCCACTGTGCCACCCCCCTCCACCCCCACCAACACCCCCTTACCATAATCGCTGGTGCTGCCACTGAGGTCTCCCTCAGCCCGCCGCAGGCACGGCGT